TAATAGCAGGACTGTTTTTCTGGCAAAGTGTGACCAGCACTGTGCGATCGCGAGTTTCTCACCAAAATTAGGACACAAAAGGATAAATCAAAGTTCATAATAAGTACCATAAGCACAGTTTCTTACCTTTGAGATAGAATTTAATCTATGTAAGCCTTGTGCAAAGAAAGATACAGTCCGGAATAAAATATCCTCAGACGAAATCGCCGCCGATTTCCTCAGTGGTTGGACTGGCGCATGCGCAATACGGTATGCCAGTTCTCTTGCGAGATGTCGTTAAAACTCGGATTTTTCCAGCAAATTTCGGCATTTGTACTAGTGAAATGTTGAAAATCACAGAAAAATACAATGAAACTTTGGCGAATCAAAAAAATACTTGGCGTGCATATGTATGGCATTGAGATATACATTTGCACCAATTTGGAAAAAAATTGGACAGAGCATATCAAAGTTATAAGAGGTGAAAGACGGACGGACGGACGGACAGAACCCAATCTATAAGCCTTCGGCAGACTTCGTCTGCGAAGGCTAACCATCGATATGAGCTACCATTCTGATTGAGAAATGGTCACAGCAATGAACCATCGATATGAGCTACCATTCTGATTGAGAAATTGTTACAGCAATGAACCATATCCTTTAAAATAATCTTTAACATATGCTGAACTGCTAGGGTTGGACAGAATGCAGTAACACACACTGAACTTCCTGTGTACAACAGTAGAGCTACCCCACCCAAACATTGAGCTGTTATGTTTTGTTGTTGTTACATAATAATCTCAATTTACATATACCAAGAGAATGTTGACATACCGTGATAAATCAATTTGATGTTACTAACATCTGCTGGTAGTAGTTGTTGGTCACATTGATGATACATCTTTATCAATAATGGTAATAGTAGTTTAATATGACCTATAGTAGTAAAACAATTCAGAATTATAACAAACCACCATCCACACAAACTACACTCCTTGTGTTCAATGCAGCATTCAACATGGAATGTAATAAGAACCATTGGCATATATTTCCATCAAGGTGTTCACAGACATTTGCCCTGTTAAATAGGGGGCAACATATTTGTCACATTTGTTTCAGATGAGTTTCATAATTATTGATTTGGACATAATTTTTTTTACCCTGCGTGAAATATCTTTCGAAGAAAACCTGTCTATCCATGTTAATTAATGCATTAATTCATGAAAAATAAATAATAATAATAAATAAATAATATTCATTAGAATTTGTGACAACCACAAATAAGTGATTTGTTCACCACATGTTACCAAACAAAATATTGAGATATGAGACCCTTGGCTCATAAATCACTGTTTACGCACATTGTATATGTTTGACCCACTTTTGAGTGACAAGTAGTTCAGGGATCATGTTTTTATCTATCTTATGTGAACAACAGCATAAAACAGAAACATATTGTAAAAGTCAAGGAAGTCTTGTACAGTGCACGTTTTAACCTTTTCACTAACAGACTTTCTTGTCCAAATTTTTCTGCACTTTAATCTGTGAGCCAACAGACAAAAGTTCAGTCAATTTTCAGTTTTTTTATTTTTGTCCCAACCTTCGGAAGGAATAGACAGACTATAAACAGGACTATTTGTGAATTTGTGATGAAAAAAGGGAACTAGGTAAAGGTAAAGCAAAAAGGTAAAGGTAGCAAACTAATTTTAATATCTAATTCATAAGAATTATGATTCCACCAAATAAGTCCTAATTAAAATTTAACAAAATTCAACAAAAGCCTAACAATACAGAGATGTTATAAATTTGCTGAAGTTACCAATGTTACCAATATATATATTTGTGAGGTGACTGGGGTCACATATCTATTGTTTCTATGTCAAACATACACAATTTGAGAATACTATAGAGTAACACCCAGAAAAGAAAACATCACAAGATTGAACATACCTGTTTTGGGTTTAGATTGAAGTATCATTCTTTGTAAGACATCAGTTAGTCTACTATTTAGAAGACTGAATGTTTCCACCTCAATGGTTTTCATAGACAGAAAGTCTTGCAATAAAGACACAATAATCTCCACAGTGTCATTAACACAATCAGTCAGTAATTCCTGAACAGATATAAAGTATAGCTCAACCTAAGCTCCACTCGCTGGTTTACCAAGACGATACAGTTTCTTTCAGAGGAGATACATTTTTGTAAGTTAACTCATTATGAAATTCATGATAACTGAATTATCTCACCATTCATTTCTTTGACATTTTTTGCTGACATTCAAAGCGGGAGAGTCGTCACCTGCGCATGCGGGGAAATTGAGTTCCAAGCGATGTTAACAACACACGCTAAAAATGCAAAGGCTCATGGGTAGATGCTTGTTTGTAAACAATGACACGCAATGACATCTGACGCATGCGCAGGCGACGACTCCCTCGCTTTAAACTTTTTTTCTAACCAAATCATTATTATCATGTATGAATCAAAAAAGGAATGTCAAATTTTCTTTACGGTGATAATAAAGTATTCTATTCTACAGATGCAGTTTAATGCAGCAAATACCAAAACTGAAATGTCAAATTTCATTTCTATTCATTAAACAGCTTTCACTCAACTGACTTAGCTTAGCAGGTACCTCCAGCATTGTATGACCCTACGTGTGTATTATGATTTATGTAAAATTAAACAGCCAAATTGCTTGAAAGTTTTAAACCTCAAGGTAACACTAAGTACAGCTTGAGAAAATTGATATAATAACCACTCATGGCAGTGCTGAAAATGTTGGCAACTTACCAACAACACTTGTAGGCATGTTGGGTTAGAAGAAAGCAACTCTTTGACTAAAGAGAAATCAGCACCATCTTTAGATTGAATTGTATTCAGCCACAACTCTGTCTGCAGTAAAGAAAAGATAAAACTAGCATTTAGTTAACAATAAAGAGGGTTTAATTCAAGTTCATGTTCTTAGTAAATGTATTAAGCATTGAAGAAAAAATATCTACACACTAAATAAAATAACAATTTGTAAACAAATTGTAATATGAGGTTATTACGAGGATACCGAAAAGTATGCAGGAAGACAGTACAGCGGGAGTATCGACCATCATGCAGCAGAGGTCGGTGCAACGGCATACTGTCTGAATTCATACTTTGCGGTATCCTCATAATAACCTTATTATACATCTTTCCCTCCCTA